ATCAGCTGCACCTATGCACCTAGCATTACAGATCCAGTTAAGTGCTACGGTGAGCCACACAGATTCTCTCAGAATTTGTTTGCCACAGAAAAAAATGTAAAAATGAGCGGTCTTGCGTAAGTCAGCCCAACACTAATTAAATCCATCAGAGGTACCTTGCTTCCTAATAACACTATCTTGCAGGTATTTCCATTACTGAAGATGCTCCAGCTTCCCACTGTCCCACAGGATGAAAAGTCACAAGTGGCACAGGTAAATGCCAGTTAAAAATAAAGTTACAATTCCAACAGAAATGTTGAGAAACGATGCTAAGATCAACAATTAAAGGTCCACTGCAGGTTTTTGGAGTTGGGTATTTTTGGTTGTAGTGGTGGGGGTGTTAATGTGCTGGAGAAAAAAAAAAACACACCTCTACAGTGAGCTAACCTAAAATCCAGATACTGTGAAAACAAACACTATCTTCACCTATTCGGTATGGATATTTTTCCCTTTTTAAAATACTAGTTCACTGTCCCTACAACTTCTTTTGGAATTACACATTTATTTTTAAAAGCATTTGTATCAAGTTTAAAATCAAAAGTTACAGCACAAAGCTTACAAAGCAAGACTATGCTAAACATCACTTAAGCATTAAAACCTGACAAGAAAAGGGCTGTGATCTGATTGCTATAAATACACATTTAACATCTGTACATAAAAGGGGTATCTTGTGGATCTGGACAACTAGCATTAGTAGTTTTCACAGTATCAATATTCACAAAGTGTCCTAATTAAATGAAATTTATGTAGACTGCATAATATGCAAAAGTACAACTATAAAATAAAAAAATTTAGTCACAATTTATGCTTCAGCTTATTATTTGTAAGTGACTTCAGTGTCTTCCTTTAGAATTACTTTTAAAGCTCTTCACCTTCACTGAAAGAAAAAGCCTATTTCTATTTTGCAACTATGTCTCAATTAACAAATGCAAGGAAATGGCAAATAATTTAGTTTAAAATCCAGACCAAGCAGATCCATTAGTCTGTAAATTCACATTACTCAAAAGGTCAAGTGACAATGTTTACTAGGTTTTGTATGTACTTTCAAATTTAAAATATGCAAAAAATAACTTTTCTTAGAATTATCATCTTAATTTATTTTAAATGAACGTCAGGAAGCTTCCAAGAGACATACATTGACAGTTAATACAGTTTAGTAAGATTTTTTTTTTTTTTTTTTTTTTTTTAAAGAAATATTTTACATTTCAGTCTTGTTTAAAAGCAGATATTCTGGTTAAGTAAGATTTCAAACTGTTCCAGCCTGCATATATAGAGCAAGAACTAATTAAGAATGTACTTTTCTAGACTTCACAGTAACAGTTTTTAGCACTGACAATATTTTAAGTCACAAAAGTGAACTGAGAATTTTGCAAATAGAGACTTGCAATAAATTACTAGAACACCGACCACATTATTAATCAGGTACGTCAACCACATTATTAATCAGGTACGTCAAGAAGAACTTACCTATTTTAAGCTCTACAATCATTTCACAGCATGCAATTACAGTCCCAACTTCTCTGAATAGGTAGTCCCTCAAAAAGTATGCCAAATACTTTTTGAACAGAAAATTCCTCTTTTGTATCAGTAAATTTCTAGAGCACCACCTTTCCCTGCCTTTTTGTTTCTCTTAACTTGCACATTACATTTTTCTCCCACAGGTAGTCAAAACAGTAAAATAAAGATACACATTGGGAAAAAACCCCAGCTGTTTAGAAGCAAAATATGTGCAATTTTTTTATTTCCTAATACTGTTTACTTTTTACCAGTAGTTGTCACTAATTAATAGCGCTTGAGTAACATGTACAGTCCCAAAGAAAAAGAAATTTTACATTACAGAAGCCTTTTTCCTTCAGATCCCTACCTCCCATGTTTATTGCTCCACGAGGACCCATATCACCCATTCTCATTTCCTGTTCTCTCTGAAAGTAAACATAGTTTTCACGGTCAACCTATCATTCTTAGAACTTAAAACATTCCCATTTACTCCATGAAAATAAAAACTTTCAAGTTTCAAAAGTTTCCATTGATCACAAAAATGTACAAGGAATAAAGTCAACTATACTCCCCTGTTTTTATAAAATCAAATGGAATAAGTAGTTTAATATAGCAATGCTGTACATTTTTGCATAATGCTAAAGGTTAAATATCGTAAGTTTAATTTATCAGATGCAGCAGTCTAAAGTTCCCAAATAGTTATGTGATCAACTGCAAACGAATCAATCTTCACTCAGTGTTTTTCATTAATAAGCAGCAGTATATTTACACTTTAACTGTAAATAAAGAAGTCTTATTACAATATTGCCTAAAGGCCGTGGTTCAATAATACAGTCAATCTGGCTTCATGACTCAAAAATGCTTGTGTTGATTGGAAACCAAGCTCTGATGTGTTATATTATGGTATATAAACTCAATCTGCCAGTTCATCTTTGTTCAAATAGTTTTGACTTAACTTCATGGTGGTACATTTTTTGATAAATTATATCATGCTATTGCTATGTCAATTCAGACACTGACCACCCTTCTGAAACCACCATAAAAATGTAGTATCAACATAAACTACTTAACATGCATTTATACTAAATAGACAAGTAACACACCAAATTGATCCAGATTCAATTGATGCTCAGTCATCCAACAGCAAAAGAGTTCTGACATTACTGATCATGAACCACGGCCTGCTGTGAAACAATACTCAAGAGACAGTACCCAGAGTAGCAAAAATCATCACTTAGGGGAAAATACAGTACACCTATCACAGATAATTCCAAGGGATTTTAATATTACTGTTTACAGCAAAAGGATGAAATAGAAACAAATGCACAGTTCAAAATGAAAACTAATGAAACTTACACCAAAAATTCTCATTCTCATTAATTTTCTGCAAGAATGTTAACGTATATTCCACTTGAGTGAACACAGGTATGCTGAGAATAAGCATATGCAAAAAAATTTACCTGATTCTGAAAATCATTCCACTTATGATTTAAGAGTGTAAGTTCAGATGCACTTTGAAAACAATTCCATACACTAGGCAACTGAATCAGTCTTGCTAAAACCAACCTTTAAACTGAAAAATTAATCAAATCAAAATACATTCATAGTACTCTTACTGTTTCACAAAACCCCTTTTTGTTCAATCATGTTTGGGATGCCAAACACGAGTCTTCTATCTTCACACGCTTAAAGCAGCAGACACCAATATTTGACAGAACAGAGTCAACAGTTTTGTAAAAATATCCTGGTACAGGAAATTATCATACGATACACAACAAAAGGCTCTCAGCTCAGTAATTTAGTTTCTGGTAACTCACATTAACGTAGAAAATGAACTTAACATAAGAAGAACATAAGAACTAATTTTGAAAGAATATGGCTTAGTGTGGAGAGGAAAAGTAAGGCCTCATAACTAAAAGACACAGGCAGTTTTAAGGTCCAGCTATGGAACGCCATTGATGAACGCTAAGAAGGACCTCTTCTTCTGACCCCAGAACCCACATTAAACCTTTCTAAAAGAGCATGCAACTACTTTGTCAGACCTTTCATAGTAATGTCAACTGACATTTTAAGTAAAATCAGCAGCCCTATTAGGATCAATTATACCCACAAACTGATAGCAACGAGTTAGTCAAAAAAAATCAGCATACAACTTTGTTGATATTAGTCTGCTTTTACATCTCAGCCCTGACATGAAGAAGTGGAAGAAAAGTGGTGTATCATCCCTAACATCAACCCCTAGCCCAACATGGTAGAAAAATGCCGTGGCTATCAGTTCACATCAATCAGACTGCGCATGCACACATGCTTGCATATGTGTGTGTGTGAAAACAGGACATGCCACAAACAGCTGAGATACTCTTTAGCTACAAGGGAAAGTACCAGATTTTTAATTACTGCACATACTTACTTGATGCATCTCAGGTTCAACTGCAAGCTGGTGTGGGGTTTTTTTTTTGTTTTTTGGGTTTTTTTTAATGTGAAATGTACCATATAAGGCAGGGCTGAGTACAATACCAGCTAGATAAGGACGTTAAGTACAGAGCTCTAAAGCTGTACTACTCACTAGAACTTAACTCGTTTTCTTTGCAGAGGATAGAGGCATTGGCAAGCCCTAACATACACTTTTTTTAAAAGGCACACTACATTTCCTCTTAGCTATAAACCACTGTTTTTTCTCAGCTTGAAATGCTACCAATCTTCAGTTAAAAAGTACAACAAAAGAGAGGGGTAGAACCTGTTATTTTTATGGTTTTTAGTCTAGTCTAACCTTTGTAACAAAAGCCATGAAGTAATTATTTGCCATTTTGTAGCTTTAACTTTGGTGTTTAATTATTACCATATAAAAAAACATTTCAGCTATAGACTCAAGATCCATAAATGTGCCTTATGATCTCTGCTGCCTGTTAATCTATCAACATGCCTACAAGAATTATTATTACTCCTACTGTTGTGTGTTCACAACTTATGTTCTTTTGAATTTTCACCATGGGGAAATTCTTCTATATGGTTAACATGGGATTAGCAAATTTAAGATAAATCTGTCAGAGAAAATACTCAATTTCAAATGTTAACCAACAGCATATATCATTAATGTAATCAAATGCTTGACATATTAACTAGAAAAAGATGTATTTAATTTGCCAGAACTTGTATTTGCAGGAGTCCAGATGATAACAAAAATTCAGTCCTATTGCCCACAAATCATGTCCTAGACGTCTATTTACTATGTGAGCATAAACAAGTTATTGCAGGTAAGTTAGGTCAACTATTCCATGGGTTTTGCCCAAAATACGACAAAGAAAGGAATACCAACAGCCAGTTGTGACAGAGTAGCCGAGCCATTGCTGGTTGATATTCTAGCCCACCTGAGAGCTTCATTCTTGGATACTCAAGCCTTTTGCAGAACATAATGATAGCATCTATCTTCTCAGAGCTTCTTTTCCTCACTATGCGACTGCCCATTCTTCTGTTGAGTAGCAGCCTGCTTCAGCCCCTTCCCCAAAGCCACCCATAACTACCCGTAACAGGGAGTTAAAATTGAGCAGCAAGAGAGGAGGGCTAAACTTTTACTAGAGAAATATGTAGGGAGGCAATTAAGAACCTCTGAAGTCACCCGGTACCTGGGAAGACAACTTAAACTGGAAGAGAACAATAAAAATGGATGATATGCAGTTATAGCAGAAAAGAAACCATAAGACAAAGAATGTGTATTAAAGTGTAATTTAAGCTTTGGGAACATTTTAAAAAAAAACCAAAACAAAAACAAAAAACAAAGGGAAGCAAAGACCAATATCCTATTGTAAAAGGACAATTCTTTACACAACTCAGAAGAAAGCTTTCCAAATTACTTCTGTTGCAGGATTCTTGCAAAATACTTCAGAACTCACTAATGCAAACAAACCTCAAGGAGGTCTCATTCATCCGAGTAATTTGCTTTTACAAAAACTGCTATGATGGCAACTATAGCATTTTACTTGCTAATTACATTAGATATAAGCATTAAAAATTAGATTTCCTCACAATTCCAACTCCTTTTAATGTCAACTGTAAAAAGTAGATCTACACAAAAATCCTGAATACACCCAGTTTTCAAATTAGATATATATAGTATGTTTAATATACTACGGATTCTCCCATTTTTACAAGTATTATAGAAACAAGACTTCTTGAGCATTTGAGGTATATCATGCGTAACAGTCTTACGCCTCAATCACCATTGATACCAGTAGTCTAAGTATACAGAGAACTGCCAAGACGATTCTTCTGATTTTTTAAAAATATACTAGTGTATTTTCAAATTCACTCTATAAAACCATGAAACTAACTGTTTTGAAAAGACACCTAAGAATTGATACAGGACAATGTGTCAGATGCAATTCCCTTCTCACATGGAAAATACAAATACAAGTAGTTACAATAACTGGGTTTTTTTAACTGACAAACCAATACTACTTTCTTCCCCTGAAAACAGGCCTTGCAATTGCAGCAGCCCAAAGAAAATTAAACCTTATCTCCAAATGATGCAATACTCATGGTAGCAAAACTGTCAAAAAAATTTTTGAATAAATATGGCATGGAATATTTTAGAAAAGCAAAAAGCAAGATATTAACTGAAATATTAAGACAACAGATCATACAGTTTTCTTCAAGTGTTTGTAGCCAGGAGATGCACTCCCAATTAACACAGGACTATTCACTCACCTTTCAGCTAAGGAATGGTGACAGAAATAATGCTAAGACACAGCATTATCAAAAAAAAAAAAAAAGAACACTTACCCCATAAACTTAAGCTTGCACATTAAAATCAGTAACTTAATTAGCACTTTATCAAGGTGTTGTGTGTAGAGCAAAATGTAATTCACAGAGCTGTTGATTCTCACTTGTTTTCATTAACATGAAAACTGAACTCTATTCTCTAGCAGACTTTGTATTTGTCAAAATAGGTAAGACATTTCTGGACCTCTTACTGGAATTTATTACTCCCTTCCAAGGTGGTTTATTTCAATAAGTTTTTTCTAGAAAAGAAAAATTATTTCCAAAGGCCTCTCCAGGAGGCATAAATGCCTTAAACCTTACACACAATTGTAATTTACTGAAAGACGCCTATATTTTAAAGACATAAAACATAAAAGTGGTTAAAATTGCTAGTTTGGCACTCAAAACTAGAATTTGGGGGATACTTTTGATTGTGCATTATTTGTCTTTTCCTCAGAATATTTTACTATTTCAATCCAATGACTAGCTTACTGGAAGTTAAACTGCCAGCAAGGAGTTAAAGTAATAAAAGCCTTCTTCCACCCACCCCCCGTCACCCTTCCCTCTCTGCTTTATCCATCAGTTAAGATCTATATGTAAGATCTGAAAGTTACAATATCCCAAAATAGTTAATTTTATCCCATCACATGCAGCAATAGTAAATAAT